TGGTAATTTAGTGATAATGCCATCCTCGTATGTGGCTAACAAATGTGGAACGCGGTCCCAAGGATCGGGGAGCTCCTGCTCCTCGGCATAAGTGATTCCTTGGCCGTAACTCCGTTCACGCGTCACGCACAAGAGGTCGTGAAATGGTCAGCGCCAGTTAATTAGGCAATAAAACATGAATGCCGAATTGCGTGCGGCGCCTTTTTTTAGCTTATAAAAACGGATTTCTATGTGAGAAAATTATCAGTGCGTTGGAGTCGAGCGAAATTGCCACTATTAAATCAAGCGAATCGCAGGGCCCAAGTTCCATCTCCATCAGCGCTGTAGACATTCTGAGTCTCGGCCACATGCACACATCCAATTTACGATAAATAACTGCGGACGGATTCGGATTCGGATTCTGATTCTGGTTGCGAGACCTCGAAAATTAAAAGCAAACATCCAAATAAGAGATGTAAGCATTTGGCCGAATGCAAGTGGTTGTTAAGGAATATAAATTGGACTATAAAATCATTAAAGCGCTTAATAATGATTAGTTGGGGTTGATTCTTCGCTCATTTTTACGCACCGAAAACGTTATAATTATGCTATAACAAAACGAAAAGGTTTTTGGTATTTGAGGCACAATTTCATATCACGTGAAATCTTTGGTGTGCGTTATCTGCATTTGTAATATGAATATTGGATAAAGTAACAGCAGTATATAATATTTCAAATTAAATGCTTTTCTGATAATATAAACAATATATTCTAGAGGCTTAAACGGATGGAGAAACTATACCTTATAGTTATCATAACAACTGCATGTTCTGCAGCTATGATCATTTGCGATAAAGAGAAATTTAAAGTAGTTCTAAACTTGTAAAGATATATCTTAATCCTTAGAAAAGGAAAGTTTCACAAGGAAACCTCATTGCAAGCCTTTCATTTGTGCATCATTTGCATATGTACTGCAAATATGTATGCGTAGCCCGATGTACCACCTGTACATACTTATACGCGTCTAAACTGCTGCGATCTTTAGTGCCCGCGGATGCGTTTCTGAATCAAGATGGACTGAAAACTGAAATACTGGAAAACTGAAAAGTGCGTAGAGGCTGAGATGGCGCGGAACGGTATCCGTTTCTCCGCGGCTGTTTGGTTGGCAGCTGGCTGTTTGGTAGTTGGCTGTTAGCTGGTTGTAGGTGTCGCTGGCACATGTGAGCCTCTTGGCCCGTGTGAGAATAACTAGTTGGACGCTCGCCCAGAGCTATAATTAGGGATTCGCATTTGCCTCATTTTTCCGCACACTCTTAAGTGATTCGCCAAGTGTAAAGTAGTCTTTTTGAGAGACGACGAAGATTGCATTAAAAAGAAACACTTTTAACCAGCGCCTTCATGACAGGAGACAGTTAAGACGGCAATTTATCTTATTATTTAAGGCAATGTGCTGGCCGAAAAGAAAAGAAAAGGAGATCTCAAATTCTGGTCGTATGTACGCACACACATTGGCTCCGAAAAACGTGTTGATATGAAATATTTCAACATGTTTTTAAACTAATACCAAAACAATAATTAGGCATGTTTGCTAATGACACGTCCGCGATGCTCAGCAACAGTAGCGGGAATCTCATACAATTAACATAATTTGCCTTTCGGTGATTTGTCTGGGTACAAAAGAATATAAATCACAACAAAACGAAAAACATGTTTTTTTTAATATTCAACTTATAAATTTGTCAATATGTTAGAGAAACAGAGTGTTAAGTTTCAACAAACAACTAACAATGCTTGTAGGGTAATACACAGTTTTACAAAAAGACACATTTACGAAATCAAAACAGACGGCTTAAAAATATTTAATTCGATCTACATGTTCCTTTAATTGTTAAGAAACATTTAAAGTACATTTTAAACGTATAATTATATAAGATTTACGTTTTCTTTACAAACTTACAATTTTTTAAGATTGTATAAGCTGGGAAAGAATTTTGGAGGAGAAATTGGGTTTATTAAAACAGAAATAAATTCTATTATTATCAAAACCGTTGTAACAATTTAAGTTTAATTAAAATGTTTCTTCTATACGTGTACAAGTTTTTCTTTAGCGTATAAATTGGTTGGAAATTTTGAATTTTGTAGAAAATTCATTAAAAGATTCAACAATAAAGTAAGCTACCGTCAAGTGTATTTGACTTTCAAATACTCAAACTCCAAACATTGCTTTATTAGTAGTAGAACTACAAATATAATAAAAACGTATATATGTTTTAAATCACCTAAGTACAAAGAAAATAGTTTATTTGCAAGTAATTTGTGTTTAAAATCAAACTTTTACTTGCAGAAATTTGAATGCGTGGCTTCCTTATAAGGTTGCACTCGTAGATCCTTTAAAAACAGCCACCTCCTTAGCCCTAGACTTCAGTAAGCCCATCTGACATTTGCGGATTAAGATTTATAGCCGTTTTGTTCATCTCCATCATAAACAACTGGCTCTTCTTGCCCATATTTCTTTGTTTTATGGCGAAAGGCCGGGCTCTCAATAGGTGCCAAGCCTGTCCCGGCCAGTTCGAATATTTTAACGTTTTGCCATTGCCATTGCTCCATTGCTCCAATGCCCGACCTGTCGTTGCCGATGACTTTATTCGAAAATGAAGCGCGTGCCGACCCCCACTGACAAATTTGTTCTGCAGTCAAAACCAGCGCCGAGCACGCGTGAAACATGATATGCCGCCATTAATATAAATCATGTGATAAGTACAGTGCTGCGAGGACGCTGTCACGTATAGTATAGTATGTACGAATGACTTTGGAGCGGCACACATTGCATTGAAATCTGTTTATACAAATACGTTTCAATTTGTGAGTGTAATTTGCCTTAATTGAACCGTATCAAATCAAAGTTCCCTATCTCATAATATGCGTTCTTAAAGCTAAAACTATCGATCATATTTAAACCATTATTTTACGAATGGTTCTGAATCACTTTTACCAATTTGAGATAGAAACGTAGTTAGTACGAAACCCTGCCTACCTGAAATCGAATCTCCAAGTATATTGAACTATGGTGGCTACAAATTGAAAGTTCGGTAATGCATAGTATACATTGGATACCTCCCATTAGTAGTATCCATTTCACATTTATGAACACCAAATAAGGCAGATACATTGAAATTTTTGCTGACAAAAGACGCTCGCGGACCGTGGCTCTGTTTTTTTATGAACTTAATTAAAATGACGGCTCTCAGGTCACGTGGCCAGGCATCGTAATGTATATCCGGCTTGTTTGTAGTGTATTTGCTGTATAATTTTCCGACAAGCTCTCGCCGGTACTTGAGCCTCCCAACTCTCGATGCGAAGCACGGGGGTTGTGGATTTTCATTACGGAGCACTCAGGTGTGCGCATCCTGCGAAGCAACAAACACGGCCACACGGCCCCAGAAAAAACATATGCGTGTCGCCGCAGCGCCGCTCGTTGCCACTCGCACTACTTGGCTTTTCACTTTTTAGCTCGAAGTACTCGTCGCACTCCGTCCCAATTTCTCACTTAAACAGACCCATGTACTGAAATCATGAGAGATTATCCCCGGTGCACTTAAAAAAAAATTAGGCTTATTAGTCGATAATTGAAGCAAGTAAAAATCATTTTTTCGAGCTCTAACTAATTTTAACTATGTAATGAACTAAAAGTAAAGGAGCTTGACAGACAGAATTAAGAAAATTACATTAATCAGTATATATTCTTTCGAGCTATAATCAGTTATGGCTAGATCCACTTTGCTGGTGAGGCAAGCAACTTGAGGCGCAGCAGCTTTCTATCCATATATCTTTAACTTAAATTTCATTTGCACTTTCTAGCTAATCAATTTGATTTCCCAAATACCCATTTTTTCAAGTGCATTAGCATCTGAGTGGATGGCGGGGTGCATTTTTGTGGGCAAATGGGATAATATGCCTCGAAGTGTTGTATGGTGCTACACACAGTTTCCTCATGTATTAAATGGCATAAATATGGACACGTGCCCTTATTTTGAACTTGCTCGCTGCTCGTCAAAGGTCCTTTTTCGCAAGCAGCGTGCAACTCGAAGCCGATTCCTAGCCCACAAGCCCACAAGAAGAGTATTAACATATCGAATTATTAGCCTACCCAGAACATTGGATAACGTGGATAAGGACGTCGCGGCCGCTATTCCGTAATTATCTCGAAAATCCCTTTATGCATATAATTGGCATTTAACTACAATAGAGTCTCTGTGGGCAAAGTCTGCGCCTGGTAATGCCATTACTTCCGCAAGATTATACAAATTCTGATATTGAGCCGTGAGGTGCTGAGCATGAGAATGCCGACCTTATTTTCACCAAAACACGAGATGCAAACCAAAGGGTCGACAATCAAAGATAAGCATACGCTCATTTCAAAACGAACACAGAATCAACATAATCTTATTGGTCACGGGAAAAGTACAGAAATGGATATTGAACGGTGAAATATTGTACAAAAGAATGTAAGGTTCCACGATATTTTGAAATAAATCTTGTAGAGCATTTACAAAATAACACAAACTACAGATACACACATTTATATTTATGTTTTAAGATCAAGCTAACAACACGATTCTTTCATAAGAATCATGTAATTCTGGAATTATCTGTTTTAAATTTTCACCAAGCTTCAGTTTTCTAAGTTGACTATCTCCGAGATAGGAATCAAGATTCTAATGCTTTAAAATTCGCAAGCTAAATTACTTTACTGATTCAAGTCTTCAGTTCTTACTCTAATTATTGATTATTATATTTGAAGTATTCCTTTCATACTTCATTCATACAATGACCCTTTATATTGCTTTCTTAAGATAAGTGAGCTAACCGCGGGATATGAAAGTATATTTGTCACGTTTTCTTCTTCTCTCATTTAGAACAATACATCGGATTGAGGTACTAGAGCCAACTTCATTTAAAAATCTCAATAAATTTATATCAAGACTTTTAATTTCCAAAGAATCTGTGTCGTGTTTATCACTGACATTGCCGTCATTGTTATGGGAAAGTACAATTGCTTTAGCATATTTGCATGCTTGGCGGTTAGAGTCCGGGCCTTGATTAATTTTTGCAGCCAGGACGAGCGGCTTATTCAAGACCGACCCACCGCACTCATAAAGTAATCAGGTCCGCCAACTGCCGGGGATTTGTCACCCCCATTAAAGAGCGTTTGATGTATTATTCGGTTCATTTGGCCGACAGGTCTGCGCAAACAGAACGCTGCCAGTTGAGCAGCCGCCACCGCTGGCAATAACAAGAAGAACGCCGAAATCAAGAGCGGACTGCCGGTGACAGGGACTAAGTCGCAGTGTAAATAGGACTATTCGAACAAACAGGATCAGATCAGAAGCGACCGACCGTTGGCCGGCTTAGTAAAGCTCGCACGTCCATTTGTGGTAGCTCAGTAACTCTGTCAAACTATACTTAAGATGCGTAAATATGAGGACTACATATGGGTATGCTTAATTTACATACAATTTCCTCATTACTATACTATCTCTAATATGTGACAGATATTGTTAAGCTTAAGACATTCTCTTTTTAAAGCCTTCCCGCTTTACAACTTTGAGGTTAAGCGAATTATGCATTTACCGGCGGTTGGTAAGATGGCTTGATGGTAACGTGGCTGTTAAGGAGAAAGTAATCAAAATTTTAGATTTTACAGAGTATTTATGGTCAAATTTAGCATGTATGATTGAATTGTCTGCCGCCTGATCCATGAAGTTACATTTCAAGTAATAACATTATTTCGGCCTACCAAGCAGCGAAATTAACAAATTCATCCCCTTTTTCTATGAGCAAGACGGAAGTTTGAAGTTTGAAGAATATACCCTTATTTTACACCTTCTGACCACTTGGTATTTCTATACATTTTGGTAAAAGTTATTATTATTATCATAATATAGTTGTATATTTCAAATCAAAAGTCTTTTGGGCTCTACATTTTAGACAAGTCCGGATTGATATAAATTTAAGCATTCGGCTAAAGATTTAGATCATAGAAGTAGCATTTATTTATAAATCCCTGAATAACCTGACCATCACTTTTAATCTCCAAAATCAATCTCATAAATGTATAAAAAATTGGCATGCTTTAATATAGTATAGCAATATTTCTTCAAGTCACATAGACACTACCACTGTATACCAAATAAGCTACACTTTATTATTTTATCACTTTGGGGAAATATCCGGTTAGTACATAGATCATTGGAAAATGTATTCAGGAAATGTCTGAACTTATAAATTATTTGTTATTAAGGTATCTAAAAAACACAGCTTGTCCCGCCAAATTCACTTTTTATCGCATTATGTAAATACGGTAAGGAGCACTGGAAAATGTAAGTACAAATACCTGCCAGGCACTTGCGTCCAAGGTAGCCAGAAATGACATATCCAACTCCTACGGAAATAGACGAAAAGTTGGTTAAAGTAATTTTCCAATTTGGCACCAGTGTGGCCTCAGTGTCTGTTGGCCGACCGACCTTCCGTCGGAAGTTGTTTGTAAAATCCAGAATGATGACAGCTTTCGCAGTTGGCCAATGAGTGCAAATTTATGTTAATCGGTGTCGACGCGCGGGGGATGAAGTTACTCCAAATCGGGCTCGCACTTGGGAATCACGTGCGGATGCCGCCGGAACTGGATGGCAAAACACGGCTATTTAGTTATAGGATAACTCGGTTAGGGAACACGGCCTGAACTTGGACTTGACATCCGCCCAGTGAATTTCCGCTCCGGTTTCCTGCACTCGCACTTGTGCCAGAGGTTCCAGCAGCGGATCGGCACTGGAGGAGCTGCGTCGTCGTCGTCGTCTGAGCCAACTTCCGTATCTCCTTTGTGGTTTTCGGCCAAAGGATTTTCCCTGCCCAGCTTACATTCCGTTCAGTTCAGTTCAGTTCCGTGCGACCGAAGACCCAGCCGTTGGCTATGTACTGTTCTACCCGGGGGTGTATGCATGCAGCTTCTGTTGGTCATGTGCCACCCGATCCGTGCCCCATCTCTCCTCCCCTCCCCCTCCCCCTCCCCCCAAAATCCTCCCAAGATAGCGCGCAGCTTTCGCAACGCACACACACACTGCATGGGGAACTTTTGCCTCCACTCCACACTCCTGCGTCTCCACCTCCACACTCCACATTCACCCGGGCTTCTGTACATGGACATATGTACGGAGTAGGTACCTGTACATACGCACTGCGACTCCCTGGACGCGTATACATGCGTACCGTACATCTGAGATTCGGGCGGACTTCTTCTATATGCGGACAATATCTCCCGAGGAAATGGAACTTTGCAAAGTCGGCAACGGACACGGCTCATGTAGAGTGATAAGTGCATAATTACACATAGCCCGTACATAGGGATGTGTGTCTACACTCGGGTGGTGGCATGCAGATACATAAATATTTATGTGGTGTACGGTGTACGGGGAGTACATAATACACTGCTGGATTTAATATTTCTCCCACCCACTCCCCGAATATCGTTGTCCATTGCCGCCAGGCACTATGTGTATGTGTGTATGTGTGTGTGTGTTTATGCCTATATACTGCACTCGAAAAAAAGGACATGGGTTTAAGCAGCGAATAATAGCTCTGGTTTAAGGCATATAATTTATACATGCTTTATAACTAATCAAATAAAAGCATTTGACAAAAAAAAAACAAATTATATATGTAATTATAATTATTAAATACTAAATGTTCAAAATCAATATTTTCAATTAAATTAAATTTAAGATGCATAAATACTTAGAAATGATACATATTTAATTATTATTATTTAGCATCAATTGCCTTATGAATTTATTAAAATCAGTCTCCGGTTCACGTATCCTTAAATTTCTGTATACTTTCTAGCTTAGTGAAATGTAAATCTTTAACGCGTAAATATTTATTTATGTTTAAAATCATTTCGTTTTTTGTTATATAATGATTTAATTATAAAATCTGTCCATGTTACTTTCCTTTAGTATGTTAACATTTCAAAAATTTTAGCAATCATTTTTTCAGAAATCACATAATAAATATAAATATAAGAGAATATTTTATATTTTATGTAATTCTCTACATCATAACAATGACTTTGAAGTTGCAGTGTTATTCGGTTACTTTTTGTTTTAAATAAGTCACAGAAATTACTTAAAATTTCGCAATATACATATAAAGACTCCTCTAAAAATAATTTATTAAAATATTCTACATTTCTACGTTTGATTATTGTCAAAACTTAAGATCCATTACAAATTTGTTCAGAGTGTAGAGCCTTGCTTGGGAGTTGGCCCGAAAAAGGGGGAGTTACAATCCCCTGTGTCACCGGCAACAGCCCCAATACACACTCAGCTGCTGCTCCTTCCCCTGCTGCCTGCTTTGTTGTTGCTGCTGCGCTGCCCGAGTACATATCGCTGTTGGGGATGCTGGCAGAGTTCCCAGGCAGCGCGTTCGAGGCGGTATGTATCTTTAACTCACCCCTGTGCCGCTTTTTATTTATCTCGCCCTCCGTCCTGCTCCGCCCTCGCGCCATCTCTCTCTCTCTCTCTCAGTTTGCGCTCTCTTAAGCTACCGTTGTGCTCTTAACTCGTGCCTCACAGATACATTCAAGCGACGGAGAGGTGTGCCTTGCATCTCTGCCGTGTAACGCTTTATCAGTTGTCTGCTCTCTTCGAACTTCCCGTTTTCAAAACAGAATGACGTCGAAAAAGCATCACAAATAGCAAACCCCCCCTAAAAATTCTAGAGTGCGATTTTCTTAAAGTTTAGTAAATATTGAACTTTTCTGTATGATTTTTACCTAAGTCCTTCTGTAATGTTTTTTCTCTACCAATTGTCATAAGCATACCAAGTATTTAACATTACAAATTCTAAAATCATTTAATATCTAACGTCCGATTAAATATTTTGGAACGAGTAAGTATAAATAAGAATAAACAATATTGTTAATATACTCCGAGATGTAGGAATCGGAATATTATATTCTGCAATATCATTTTTAATATCAAATTCTTTGTTTAGATATTTAATATTGAATACTAGCTATTTATTTCTTACGCATAATTACGTAAGGGGCTTTAGACCAGCATCTAATCGTAAATATAAATAATATAATGAATAAAATAATTAAATACTAACCCTATCGGTTGAAAGTTTCAAGTAAATTAAATTTAAATTTAAATTTAAGTACATAGCTTTTTTGGCTTTGTACATAGCTTTTTGCCTTCAAGTCCCAAGTTAAAAAATACTTTTAAATTATTACTAATAATAATAATCAGAAAAATATTAATGTCAGAAAGTTAGAGTGTTCTTTAAAATGTAATAAATAAAACTAAAAATAATAAGTCGAAATTTTGAAAAGATTCTAAGTCCGACGGACCACGAATATTTATACCCTTGCAGGGTATTATAATTTCAGTCAGAAGTTTGCAACGCAGTGAAGGAGGCACCTCCGACTATATAAAGTATATATATTCTTGATCAGGATCAACAGCCGAGTCGATCTAGCCATGTCCGTCTGTCCTTCTGTCCGTCTGTCCGTCTGTCCGTTTCTACGCAAACTAGTCTCTCAGTTTTGAAGCTATCTGAATGAAACTTTGTAGTTAGCCTTCTATGTATATACTCTCACTCGTATATATGTCGGAACGGGCCGGATCGGACGTCTATATCATATAGCTGCCATAGGAATGATCGGAAAATTGGACGACTATATCTTATAGCTCCCATAGGAACGATCGAGAAATTTAATTCAATTAAAAAGTATAACATTTTCAGTTTTCAACAGATTTCATCAAATTTGATATATATCCATTTTATAAGAAATAAAAGAAATTAATAAAATTAATGATTATAACTTCTTCAGTTTTCACCAGATTTTCATCCAATATGAGATATAGCCATTTTATTTTAATCTACAATTTTGTGTAAAGTTATAAAAAAACGGACTACTATGTATATCACATAGCTGCCATAGGAACGATCAAAAAATGAATACAATTAAAAATTATAATGTTTTCAGTTTTCAGCAGATTTACATTAAATTTGAGATATAGCCATTTTATATCAGTCTTAAATTTTGTGTCAAATTTTATGTAAATCGGACGACTATATCACATAGGTGCCATACAAACGATCGTTAGATGTGGAGCAAAAAGGCAAATCTGTGAATGTAAAACTGAAAATATACTATATATAGGTGAATGAAATGAAAGCAGGTATTAATTCATAGTTTATTTTTTAATATAATATATATATTTTATATTGCATGGATTCCTTGTCATCGAAGTTCTACCTACAAGGGTATATAAACGAAGTTAGCTTACTTTCTTGTTTTTTTTTTTGTTTGTGTTTTGCTTTTCAAAAACTGTTTTGCAAACTCAGCCGCTAGATTTAATCCAAATAAATCCAGACTGTAGTTTCATTATAGTAATTTAAATCAATCAATCATTTTTCATTCGTTGTTGTTTCTTTTTTAATGGTTACTACATAGTTGATGTATTATTATTCAAATTATTTATGTTATCAATTGCCAAGAATAACAAACTTTACAATTAATAATTAATAAGTAGCCACATATTTTTGAAACAATGTAAAAATAACATGTAAAAGCTTAAATAAATACGGAATAAATCAAAATCACAAAAATGTATGCGAAAAATCTTCTTGAAGCGACAGTAGAATGCACAGTCCAACAGGTAAATAATTTATCTTTTATATAAATATCTCAGTTTGTTTTCCATTTAATTTATTTAACATATATTTAAATTTTGTGCAAAACTGCCGCATTGATTATCAAAACACATGTGTATGCATTTTAAGGTAAATAATGCTGGCAATGCATAATTCAAC